ATGAACTCATATGGAACTCCTGACCCCAAATTCACCTCAGCTATGACGAAATTAATAGGGCTGTGGTACTGATTTGCACTTTGCTCAATCACCTGCAGCCTTACAATAATTATCTTGGTCCTGCTCTTACATACTGTTCTGAAAACCCCTCCTATATACAGTAGACCAGTGGTTCTCAAACTTCTTTTTTCCACAGACCACTTGAAAATTGCTGAGAGTCTCGGCAGACCACTTAACGATCTTTCCAAATGTTGTTTGTACCATTAGCTAACTATTGTAAAGTGCTTTGGATAAAAGTGCTATATAAAAAAAAAAAGTAATAATAATGAACTTTTTTTGTTCTACAAATAAAAGCACACAACTAATATTTTCATATCAGTAGTTTTACCTTTCTAATGCGATGGATGTGCCCTCTCTCCCACACCACAGCAGTCCCCAAGCTGGGGCTGGGAAGGAAGGGGGGTCTCTCCCCTGCCCCAGCAGCCAGAGAGCTGAGTCTGGGAAGAAGGGCCGTCCCTGGAGCTGGGAAAAGTCACCTTTCTCTGGCCGCCGCAGCCCTGTACATCCTAAATTCCCCCCCCACCCCGTCTTCTCACCCACCTATCCCCTAGTCCCCCCCAAGGCCACCACCTCACTTTACATGTGCATCTTCTCCAGGGTCCCAGCACCTAATTAGTGGAGCCACGTCTGCACAACTCCACTAATTAGGTGGGTGGCCCTTCATTGTTTTGTGGACGGCTGCCCAGGTGCACACCTTAGAGCAGGGGTGGGAAAACTTTTTGGCCTGAGGGCCACATCTGGGTAGGGAAATTCAATACAGGGCCACGCATGTAGAGCTGGGGCTGGGGGTTGGGGTGTGGGAGGGAGTGCGGGGTGTGGGAGAGGTTGCGGTGGGCAGGAACGGGCTCAGGGCAAGGGGTTGGGGTGGAGGAGGGGTGTGGGGTGTATGAGGGGGCTCAGGGCAGGGGGTTGGGGGGTGGCAGGCTTCTCAGGGCAGGGGGTTGGGGGCTCAGGGCAGGGGGTTGGGGTGTGGGGTGCAGGAAGGGTTCGGGGCACAGGCTCCGGCCCAGCACCACTTACCTGGAGTGGCTCCGGGGTAGCAGCGGTACACACCGGGGTCAGGGCAGGCTCCCTGCCTGCCCTGGCCCCACGCTGCTCCCGGAAGCAGCCGGCACCACGTCCCTGTGGTCCCTGGGGGATGGGGGCAGAGGGCTCTGTGCACTGCCCTCACCTGTGGGTACCTCCTTCAAAGCTCCCATTGGCTGCGGTTTCCCCTTCCCGGCCAATGGGAGCTACGCAGGGCTGCAGGGACTGGTGCTGGCCGCTTCCCAGAGCGGTGCATGGCGCCATAGGGGTGGCAATCCCGCAGGCCGGATCCAAAGCCGTAGTTTGCCCACCCCTGCCTTAGAGGGAACTAATCGCGGACCACCTGAATGGAGCTTGTGGACTACTGGTGGTCCACAGACCACAGTTTGAGAACCTCTGCAGTAGACTAATCTGGTTTGTTTAAAATAAAGATAGTTATGGGGCCAGATTCTGAACTGGTGTAATCAACATAGTTCAGCTGAAGTCAATGGAGCCACATCAGTTTATATCAGCTGAGGAGTTGGCCTATGATCTGCAGTGTTGTTTCTCGGCTCGGGAAACCAAACCAGACTCAAAATTTCATTGACTTCATTGTAAATCTCTTCAATGCCCACAGAAGTCAATTAAAATATTTGTACTGACAGCTTTCTTTTGGAGAGGTCATATACTTTTACTAATGTAACCTTGATACCTCATCATAAGCTATCAGTGCTGAAACAATATTTCTAAAACATATCGCCTTCTGAATGATTCAGAGACCAGAAAACCTAGACAATCCAATGACAGAGTTCTTTCTTTTCAGATAATAATGTACAGAAAGAGGAGGAGTGCTGCATTATGGACCTGATCCAATGACCATTCAAGTCAACGGAAAGAAACCCATTAACTTCAGTGAGCATCAAGTTGGGTCCCAAATGGGTAGACAACATAGCATTAGCCATAGTACTGACACAGGGGTGACCCTTTGCAATTCCCTACACCAGGGGTTCTCAAACTGGGGGTTGGGACCCCTTGTGGGGTTGCGAGGTTATTACAGGGAGGGGTCGCGAGCTGTCAGCCTCCACTCCAAACCCCACTTTGCCTCCAGCATTTCTAATGGTGTTAAAAATATAAAAAAGTCTTTTTAATTTATAAGGGGGGGTTGCACTCAGAGGCTTGCTGTGTGAAAGGGGTCACCAGTCCAAAAGTTTGAAAGAACCACTGGTCTACACAATTACCCGGTGAGCACCCTTTACTTAGACATTAATTACATCATCTTTTTAGACAAGACCGTGGTAATTGTCAGGAGTGAGCTCTTCCACCTATTGAGATCCGGGAGGTGGGCGGGCAGCTGAAGACCCCTCCCCCAGCCTAAGGCGAGGAGCGACTCTGCAGGTGCGAAGGCATCACGAGCAATTCTCCAGCCGCCTCCTTAGGAGCCAGCTGCAGGGCTGGACACTGATCTGTTAACGTCATAGGAAAACAACAGCCCTAAGACTCGCTGCGGGCGTGGCTGCAAGCCCAGGGCACAGAGAGCTGAAATATCTCAGGCTGGGGAGCTGCAGCCTGCCGAGCCAAGGCGAGGAGACACCGCCCGGATCCCGTGTCAGCCGCGGGGGCGGTGCAGCTCCTGCAGGGGCGGTCCCACCGCGCTGCGGGCAAACCCAGACAGGGCTGCGGATGGCTGCGCGTTTGGTTCGAGAGGAGGGAAGCTCGGCTCTGGCGTCTCCCCGCAGCCCCGGGCAGGTCCCCTCAGTAAGCGAGGTGTGCGCAACCGCGGGTGTGCGGGGGGCTGATGGGCTGGGGGCGCCGCCTGGCACGGCGGGTGCTGCTCAGACCCTGTTTTCAATGGCTTTGAACGTTGCCGGGCGGTGGCCGCTTGGGCTGGAATCTCCCGTGCCAGGGGCTGGCTCGGGCTGAACTCTTTGGGAAAACGTCCCAGCTGTTTGTGAGAACGAGCCTCGGGCAAGGCGGGCTGTTTCGCCCGGGGAACAGCTCACAGGCTGAGCCCCTCTCTTTGAGCCAGGTGCCCGAGCACCCCCGGGCCCGGAGCAGCGATTGGCATGGGGGCGCCGCTGTGTCGGGGACAGGCCTTTTCTCCGGCGCCCTGAAAATCCCCCCCCCCCCCCCGATCTGACCCCGTGAGGAGGAGGCGCTGGAAAAACCTGCAGTTACCATATACCGGGGAGCGACTACGCAGCTCTGTTTCCGGGAGATGCCTGCACTGGGCATCCTCCGGCCGGGGCAGAGTCAGGCTTCTGCTATTGCCGTTTCCGGCTCGGGGCCAGGAGCCGGGGGTCTGGCTCTCCCGTGCTCTCGGGGACCCTTCTGCTGGGCCCAGCCCCGGGCAGCGCGGCGGAGGCAGCTGCCTGATTCCGAAGCAGAGAGCACACGAGCTGGGGCTGGGGCTGGCTGGGCAAGGAGCCGGGAGCTGGAAGCAGAGGAGATTGGGACTGTTTCAGCAAAAGGACTGAGACTGGGGGGCCGGCTGGCCGGGGAGGGGGAGGTGGGAGACTGAGATCCGATGAGGAACCGGGGGAGAGCGGGGCTGGCTGGGCAAGGAGGCTGGAACTGGGAGCCACTGGGGTGAGGAGAATGAGGGAGAGGCCTGATAAGGAGCCAGGGTGCGCAAGGAGAACTGGGCCTGACCAAGGAGCTGATGTGGGGAGGGGAAGTGGTGCACTGAGATTAGACATGGAGCCCAGGGAAGGAGACTGTAAGACCGAGGGGACAGGAGCGTGGGCATGAGGTGAGTGGAGCCCTAGGTGGGGGCGGGAGAGACAGATCAGACAAGGATCTGGGAAGGGGGAATTGGAACTGGCTGGCTAAAGAGATGGGGACAGGGAGTCTAGGACTGCATGAACAAGTATACTGGGATGAGAAGCCTGTGGAGTGGAGATTAGGACTGGTGAGTGTTGAGGGGCGGGGCACAAAACTGGGACAGGGATAAATTGGAGGGTATGCAGAGGTGAAAGTAAGCTGGTATGCCCCAGTATGGTGTACCGGTAAGAGCCAGTGCGCCGTACCAGGACCGGCTTTCCGAGAGGGCAATTTAAAGCCCTGGGGTAGTGGTGGCGGGGATTTAAAGGGCCCCGGAGCTCCAGCTGCTGCTACCCCCGCGCCCCCCCCGGGACCCTTTAAATCCCAGCCTGAGCCCTGCCGCCACTACCCCGGGGCTCGGGCAGCAGGGCTCAGGCGGGATTTAAAGGGCCCTGGCGCTCCAGCTGCCGCTACCGCTCCGGGGTCCTTTAAATCCCCGCCAGAGCCGCACCGCTACCCCAGGGCTCAGGCAGCAGGGCTCAGGTTGGCATTTAAAGGGCCCTGGAGCTCCAGCTGCCGCTACCCTCCCTGGGCCCTTTAAATCCCCACCTGAGCCCTGCTGCCCGAGCCCTGGGGTAGGGGTGGGGGGGCTCTGGTGGAGATTTAAAGAGCCCTGGAGCTCCAGCCACCGCTACTGCCCTGGCCCTTTAAATCCCCGCCGGAGCCCTGCTGCCAAAGCCCTGGGGTAGGGGGGCTCTGGCGGGCATTTTAAAGGGCTGGGACGGTAGCAGCGGCTGGAGCCCTGGGGCCCTTTAAATCCCCGATGGAGCCCGGCCACCGATACCCAGGGCTTGGGCAGCAGGGCTCAGGCAGGGATTTAAAGGGCTCGGGGCTCTGGCAGCTGCTACCACAGCGGAGCCCCAGGCCCTTTAAAGCTCTGCCAGAGTCCAGAGCCCCGGGGTAGTGGTGGCAGCCGGGAGCCCCCAGGGCTCCACAGTCATTTAAAGGGCCCAGGGCTCTGCTGCGGTAGCGGCAGCTGGAGCCCTGGGCCCTTTAAATAGCCCCCGAGCCTCCCAGCTGTCTCTGCAGCTGGTAGCTTGGGGGTAATTTAAAGGGCCCTGGGCTCCCAGCCGCCACTACCGCAGCTGGAGCTCTGGCCCTTTAAATCTTGATTTCAAGGGCCTGGGGATTTGAGGCCACACCTCTTCTGGTTGAGGCCACGCCCCTTGCTCAGGACTCCAGCATACCGGTAAGTCCTCTAACTTACTTTCAGCCCTGAAGGTATGGGACAGAAGGGGTTAAGTATGGAGGAAAGAGGCAGTGGGGTCTGTGCTCATTAGAGCACACACCTCTCCAGAGCCTGGAATGGAACCTAAGGTCCCTGAGTCTCACGATTCTTCTGCGGTCAGCAAATATCTCTGGAAGCCACTGGCAATGGGTGTGTCCCATTCTGTCCTCTAGTGCTGGTCCTCGTAGAGCATGACAACCTACTACTGCTATCGGCTCATTAGCTCAGGTGACAGAGGGCTGTGTGGTGGATCTAAAGATTCCAATGTTGCTGATGTGAGTGTCAATAGGATGCCACATGATGGAAATTCTGATTTTTTTTTCCAGTTTGCTTTTTTAAAAACCTATGAAATTGCAACCTTAATGCTGTTCTTTTAATGTAGTCATTGTGTGTAAAATCAAGCATGCAAAAGTTAGGAAATACCAGGACGAAGGTTGCCTGTGCTTAATTCCAAATGGCCGTGGGAGTCGGCAGGGTTTGTAGGATATGTCCAAGTGAGGTTCTCGGCCGCTAGTCATTGCGGGAAGGTATTCCTGAGCCTCTGGATTCTGCCCCGGGAAAGGAGGAGTTGGTGGTCATGTAAGTTGCATGGTCTGATTTTAATGCTTCCCTCAAGAAATTGCATCACAGTGGCCCCAGCGGGCTAGCTTCTATTGCCCTGCCACCAAAGATACAAAATAGCCTTCTCAGCTGCAGCACTCAGGCGTCCTTGGTATCTCCAAAGATATTGGGCTGGAACCTGCCATTGTGATTGGGTAGTGGCCTTAAACCTAGTTTGTACGGGTAGAAATAATTGCGCTTGGTGGAGGGCAACGGAGGCCCATTGGGGCTGATTCTCAGGAGCGTTGAGCACCCACAACTCAAGTTGGCAGTGGTCACACCTGGCTGAGAGGAGGATCGGTTACTCCAGATTTAATGAAAGGATCCTGCCTAGTGAGGTCACTCATGCATGATCCTTTCATCATGCATGTGTGATCTGGCACTTTTGCTAGTACAGAGGGGTAGAGCATGTGAAGAATGAATGTTGTGTCATGGTTGCATCAGGGGAACTGGGAGCCAGGACTCCTAAGATCTATTATTAACTGTGCCACTGACTCAGTGTGTGACCTCAGGCAAGTCGCTTTGTCTCTCTGTGCCTTGATTTCCCTTCTCTGAATGTGGAGGATAATGATACTGACCAGCAGCCATGAAGTGTGAACTCCAAAGTTCTAACTGGGAGCACCCAACACTGTCCTTATCCTCCGCACTCCTCACCCAGCGATCTCCAAGCACTTATTCAAAGATTCTAGGTCCAGAAGGTTTAGGTTGGACATTAGGAAAAACTTCCTAACTGTCAGAGTGGTTAGGCACTGGAATGAATTGCCTAGGGAGGTTGTGGAATCTCCATCACTGGTGATTTTTAAGAGCAGGTTAGACAAACACCTATCAGGGATGGTCTAGATAATACTTAATTCTGTCATGAGTGCAGGGGCCTGGACTAGATGACCTCTCGAGGTCCCTTCCAGTCCTGTGATTCTATGAGTTTGTGATTGTAATCCTCTAGTCTAACCACCTGTTTAACACAGGCCAGAGAACTTCCCCAAAACAGTTCCTAGAGCAAAGCTTTTAGAAAAACAGCCAGTCTTGATTTAAAAATTGTCAGTGATGTAGAATCCACCACAAACCAAGGTAAATTGTTCTAATGGTTGATTATCCTCACTGTTAAATAGTTACACCTTATTTCTAATCTGAATTTGTCTAGTTTCAATTTCCAGTCACTGGATCATGTTCTTCCTTTCTTTGCTAGATTGAAGAGCCCATTATCAAATACCTATTTCCCCATATAGGTAAGCTAAATAGATTGGGCTTCTTGAGGAATGTTTTCTAATCCTTTACTCATTTTCGTGGCTCTTTAATTTATCAACATCCTTTTTGAATTGTTGGCACCAGAACTGGACACGGTATTCCAGCAGTGGTCCCACCAAGGCCAAATACAAAGGTAAAATAACCTTTCTGCTCCCACTCAAGATTCCCCTGTTTACGTGTCCCAGGATTACATTGGCTCTCTTGGCCACAGCGTCCCACTGGAAGCTCATGTTCAGCTGACTCTCCACCATGCCCCCAAATCTTTTTCAGAGTCACTGCTTCCCAGGCTAGTGTCTCCCATCCTGTAATTATGGCCTCTATTCTTTATTCCCAGATGTATACATTTACATTTAGCCATATTAAAATGCATATTATTTGCTTACGCCCAGTTTACCAAGTGACCCAGATTGCTCTGAGTCAGTGACCTTTTCTCTTCATTATTTACCACTCCCCCAATTTTTATCATCTGCAGACTTTCAGTTATGATTTTGTTTTCTTCTAGGTTACTGATAAAAATGTTAAATAGCATAGGGTCAAGAACCGATCTGTGCAGGACCCCACTGAAAACAGGCAGGCAGAATGATAGATCTCAAAATGTAGCTGTAAATGGGGAATAATCAGATGGCACGTATTAAATGGATTAAAAACTGGCTGTTAATTTTGTATTGTTTTTAATCAAAATGGTGTGCCGTACCAAATCAAACACCTTACAGAAGTCTAAGTGTATTGCATCAACACTATTAACTTTATAAATCAAACTTGTAGTCTCATCAAAAAAAGATATCAAGTTAGTTTGACTGGCTCTGTTTTCCATAAACCTATGGTGTTTTGCATTAATAACATTACCCTCCTTTAATTCTTTATTAATCAAGTTCCATGTCAGCTGCTCCATTATCTTACCCAGTATTGATGTCAGGCTGACAGACCTCTAATCACCTGGGTCATCCCGTTTACCGTTTTTAAAAATTGGCATATTAGCTTTCTTCCAGTCTTCTGGAACTTCACCAGTGTTCCAAGACTTATTAAAAATCAATAATAATGGTTCAGCGAGTTCTTCAGGCAGCTGTTCGTAAAATTCTTGGATGAAAGTATCTGGACTTGCTGATTTAAATGGAGGGTACTAAAGTTACACATTTTTAACATCTTCCAGGGATACTAGAGGAATGGAAAGAATGTGATCACCATATGATGAGACTCTATCATCTATTTTTTCCTCAAATACAGAAGAGAAATATTTATTGAAGACTTCTGCCTTTTCAACATTATTATTGATAATTCTACCATTTCCATCTAGTAATCGACCAATACTATTCTCAGGATTCTTTTTGTTCCTACTGTATTTTAAAAACTCCTTTTTATTGTCCCCACTCTGTTAGCCATAGATGTCTCCTTGTGTCCTTTTGCTTCCCTTATGAATTTTCTACAATTCCTAATTTCTGATTTATACTCTTTAGTACCAACTTTCACTCTCTCTATATATATATAAATACACACTCACACACTAACTCCTCTCTTAACGTCGTCCTGGTTAACGTTGTTTGTTCCGTTGCTGATCAATTAGAGACTGCTTGCTTTGTCCACTGCTTGCAGGAAGAGCAGTTAATTGGAGCTAGCTGGTGGGGGCTTGAAACCAGGGTGGACCGGCAGCCCCCCGCCCCCATCAGGTCCCCTAAGTTTCCCTGTGCAGCAGCCGCCCAGCAATTGCCAGGCAGTTCAGCTGTCCCTCCCCTCAGTGATGTATGCTGCTCCTGCCCTCTGCCTTGGAGCTGCTCCTGGGAGCCTCCCGCTTGCTGTGCAGTCGGGGGGATACTGATGTCAGACTGTCCTCCTCCCCCCGCTCCTGTACCCCACCTCCACAGAGCGTGGAGGGACAGGACAGGGTTCAGGATGGAGGGAGCTTGCTGGCAGCAGCTGCTGTCTCAACTTGCTGATCTACTTAGAGGCAGTGTACTTAGAGTGGGGTCAGCGTACTTAAAGGGGCAATGCGCATCTCTCTCACGCGCGCGCACACACAGTGTGTGTCTCTGTCTCTCTCCGCCATGCTGTGTCTCTTCCCTCCATTCGTACTGCCTTGTAGAGTACGAGGCTACACTAACAACAATGTGTTAACCCTTGAGGGCTCAACTGAGTGCTAGTTCATCATTTAGCAGTAAGGCATTCCCTGGGAAATATCCCACCCTCTGATTTCACCACCTCAATCAAGCTTCACAATCACCATTGCTGTGTACAGTATTAAATTGCTTGTTTATAACCTAACCCCCCCTCCCCCATTTATATTAATTCTTATGGGGAAATTGGATTTTCTTAACATCTTTTTGCTTAAAGTAGTATTTTTCAGGAACATAACTACAACGTTAAGCGAGGAGTTAGTGTGTGTGTATGTGTATACATAGTTGCCTTTACGTTCTCTCTAAACCAAGTTGGTTTAGTAATGTCAGCCAGTATCAGTCTCCCCACTCAACAGACAAGGAAAGTAAGGCCGAGAGAGGTGAAAAGGCATCACAAATGGGTTGTGAGGCTTAACCCAGTAATGTCTGAACTGCCCTGAGATCCTCCATTGGAAGGGGCTGTAGAAAGGCAACAGATTGGTATTAGGAGCAGCCCCAGGAACAAAGTGCAAATCTCATTCCTTCTGTTGCTGGTTTGCACAATGTAACTTATCAGTGGCTGAAAGAAACAAGCCCAGCCCAAGCTCTTGGGGACCCTTGAGTGATGAATATAAAACACCCATTGACAAAGCCAAATGAGAGCGATGATTCCCTGCACCCCGCAAATGACCCTGCAGCTGCTCGAACACCAGCCTCAAGGGGATCTCTACTGATAGTGGTGGGGGGTGTCTTTAAACACCTTCACTCCCACTCTCCATGCCCCCCAAAGCTCCAGGGCTGAGATCCCCCCTGTGCAGGGTGCCAGAGATCCTGAGCAGGGCTTAGGGGTGAAATGGTTTCTGTGCCTTGCACTGACCCAGTGTGTGGGGTGGGTTTGCACCACAAGAGAACAACATGCAATTGGCTGGGTGCTGCTGGCCCTGTCCAGAGAACCCCAGACTGAGTCCTGCTACCACTCAGAGGCAGCTTTCTTTAGTGACCTTCTCTTCTCCCCCTACACCCTGCTCACAATATGATGCAGGGAGGGGGGGGGGCTGTGATGGAGAGGCAGTGTCTGAGAGAGACTGCCAGCCCTGGCTGGGGGAGCCTGCTCCTAATGCCCCTCCCCCTTAGGCGATGGGTGTGATGGTGGATCAGCAGCCCAGAGCCAGCCCCTTCTGATCCTTGTGGTGGGGACCAGATTGTAACCATCACAATGTTGTTTGTTTTTAATGTCCCCTCCCAACTCCAGCTCTCCAAGGATCTCCCCTCCTTCACCACTACTGCTACCGCCAGGGTGACGAGGAATGGGGGAGCAGGCATGGAGAAAGCCCTGTCCAACCAAGAGGACTTGGGAGGAGACCGGGGCATGACGGACGATATCTTTGATGAGAGCTACTGTGAGAAGGAGGGCCCCAAGCCTGCCAGGAGATATGTCTGGAGGAACATCATCCTCATGAGTCTGCTGCATTTAGGGGCCTTGTACGGGTTGTGGCTGATACCTGCAGCAAAGCCTGCCACCTTGGTGTGGGGTAAGCAGAGGCTGTGACAGATTAGGGAATAAGTGTGTGTTAATTATTGATTCCATTCGTGTGTAATTGTAACTATCACTGTGGATTTGATTATAGAATCATAAAATGTAGGGCTGGAAGGAATCCCCAGATGTCATCTAGTCCAGTCCTGTCCCCAATCCCCCTGCTGAGGCAGAAGCAAGTAACCCTAGACCAGCTCTGACAAGTGTTTGTCAAGCCTGCTCTTAAAAACCTGCAATGACTGGGATTCCACAATCTCCACTTGTGATTTTATTGCAGTATTTAACTATCCTTACAGTTTTTTCTAACCTAAATCTCCCTTGCTGCAGATTCAGCCCATTACTTCTTGCCCTGCCTTCAGTGGACAGGGAGAACATTGATCACCCTCCTCTTTTATACAAGTCCTTAACCTATTGGAAGACTGTTATCAGGTCCTCTCAAGTCTCTCTTTTTTTTAAGACTGAACATTCCCAGTTTTTTTAACCTTTCCTTATAGGTCATTTTTTCTAAAACTTATTATTTTTGTTGCTCTTCTCTGGTCTCTCTGAAATTTGTCTACATCTTTTCTAAAGTGTGGTGCCAAAAACTGGCCACAATACTCCAGCTGAGGCCTCACCAGAGCCAAGTAGAGTGAGACAGTTCCCTCCTGTGTCCTACATACCACACTCCTGTTAATACGCCCCAGAAAGACATTTACTTTTTTCGCAACAGCATCGCGGCGTTGGCTTATTCAGCTTGTGATGCACAAGAAGCCCCAGTTTGAGCAGTATGACCACCACGCCAGTTATTCTCCATGTTGTAGCTGATTTTTTCCATCCTAGGTGTAGTACTTTGCACTTGTCTTTATTGAATTTCATCTTGTTGATTTCAGACCAATTTATCAAGGCCATTTTGAATTCTAATTCTGTCCTCCAAAGTGCTGCAACTTGACCCAAAGCTGGGAGATCTGCAGATTTTATAAGCAGACTCTCCACTCCATTATCCAAGTCATTAATGAAAATACTGAATGGTATCAGACCCAAGACTGACCCCTGTGGGACCCCATTAGATGTGAATTCCATCTTGACAGTAAATCATTGATAACTGCTCTTGGAGTATGTGTGGTTGGTTTTTTTTTTGTCTTTTTTGTTTTTTTAACCAGTTATGGACCCACCATGTAGTACGTTCATCTAGACCACGTTTCCCTAGTTGGGACTGTGTCTGAAGCCTTACTAAAATAAAGATATCCTATCTATTGCTTTCCCCCATCCATTAGGCCAACCACCCTGTCAAAGAAGGAAATTAGGGTGGTTTGGCATGATCTGTTCTTGAAAAATCCACGTTGGTTATTACTTATCACCCTGTTATCTTGTAGGTGCTTGCATGTTGAATAATTTATTCCATTATCTTTCCAGATATCCAAGTTAGGCTGACTGGTCTATAATTCCCTGGGTTCTCTTTGTTCTCCATTTTATAGATAGGTACTCTGGGTGCCCGTCTCCATTCCTCTGGGACCTCACCCATCCTCCGGGAGTTCTTAATGGCTCTGAGATTGGTTCAACTAGTTCCTTAAGTGCCCTAGTTCAACATGTTAAGTGCCCTGCCAACATGACTACATCTAGTTTATCCAAATATTCTTTAACCCGTTCTTTCCCTAGTCTGGCTTGTGTTCCTTTTTCTTCATTATTAATATTAATTGTGTTAAGCATCTGGTCCCAATTAACCTTTTTACTGAACACTGAGGCAGAACAGGTATTAAGCACCTTGGCCTTCTTGGTGCTGTCCATTTTAACTGTCCTTCCGCACTAACAGTGGACATACACTTGCCGACTTCTCTCTTGTTACTCATGTATTTGTAGAACCTCTTCTTGCTGCCTTTTATGTCCCTTGCTAGCGGTAGCGGTGATTTTTGTTCCGACATGCTGGTGCTGTCCTTTTGTGCCCCTCCTGAGCAATTTGTCAGTGTTTCTCCTTTTTGTAGGATTCTATCTTGATTTTTCAGGTCACTGAAGAGCTCCCGATGCAGCCATCTTGGCCTCTTAGTATTCTTCCTCTCTTTTCCACTGGTAACAAGCTCCTGAAGGGAAGAACTACTGGTGCAGAACCAAGTCGGATCTGTTGCATGGCCGATGGACAGGGTGCTGTAACCCCAGGCCCAGTCTAAGAGTGGGGGAATTGTATGATTCCACCCCAGGAAAGGTGAAGGCCTGAGGTGGTGCTCTCAGGCCAGGAAGAGGTCAGAGCATGCCGCCAGTCCGGTAAATGTAACTTATTGGGGGAAGCCTGCTGGGATGATTGTGACAGTGGTGAATTTCCAATAAGTGACAACAGCGGTAAAAACAAGTATTGTAGAAGGAAAAAGCAAGAGAAAAAGGGGCTTGTGTTTGGGTTGGGAAGAGATTAGGGAAGGTCAGAAGGGAAAAATGAGTTCTGAATGGCTTGGGGCAGATCAGTTAATCAAGTTGAGCAGAGAGGACCCTAAACTCAAAAGAGCTAGGAAGGTCAGAGCTGGTGTCTTTGCTGTATGATGATGACTGGAGGCAGAATGGGGCACCAGCACCGGCCCAGGACCTAGACGAGGGTTCCTGTTCTCTTGCAGCCCAGAATGGCCCAACTCTCAGACCAACAGCGGCGGGGGTGGAGGAGGTGCAGCTGGAGGAGGAGAAGCTGCAGCTTGAAAGAGAAAAGCTGCCCTTGGAGGCCAAGCAACTTGCTGACTGATATCAGGCCAGAGCAGAGCAGGAGAAGCAGCACCAGCATGAGCAGGCGGAACAAGAACCACAGAGAGAGCACGAATTGGACCTTGCACAAGTGAGGAGCCAGGGACCAAGGGATCCAGTAAGTGGGGCTAGAACCAGGAATGCCAGCTCTGCAGGGGGCATAGCTGCTGAACTGTTTCCCCAGTTTAAGGGGGTGGGGATATCAATGCCTGTCTCTTGTGATTTGAATCTAGGCCCCCCTGAAGATTGGCATAGAGGCCTCCAGCAAAAGGGATGCTGCAGTCTCTGGGGATCATGACCAAATTATAGGGGCCTTGCTCCTTGCACTTCAGCTGGCTCCCAGGCTTATGGGTGGGGCTCTACCAAATTCATAGCCATGGAAAAACGCATCATAGACTGTGAAATCTGGTCTTTTTGTGTGCTTTTACCCTAGACTATACAGATGTCATGGCGGGACGCTAGCGTTTCTCAAACTGGGAGTCCTGACCCAAGAGAGGGTTGGCGGGGGGTGAGATTTGCAAGGTTAATTTAGGGGGGGTCATGGTATTGCCACTCTTATTTCTGCGCTGCCTTCAGAGCTGGGTGGCTGAAGAGCAGCAGCTGCTGGCCAGGTGCCAAGTTCTGGAGGCAGTGCCCTGCCAGCAGCAGCGTAGAAGTGGGGGTGGAAATACCACACCTTTCTACCCTTACTTCTGCGCTGCTGCTGGCGGCGGCTTTGCCTTCAGAACTGGGCTCCCGGCCAGCAGCTGCCACTCTGCAGGCAGCGCCACCGCCAGCAGCAGTGCAGAAGCGAGGGTGGCAGTACCACCCCTCCCCCAGTAACCTTGTGACAAACACCCCCACAACTCCTTTTTGGGTCAGGACCCCGACAATTACAACACCCTGACATTTCAGATTTACATTTCTGAAATCATGAAATGTACTATTTTTAAAATCCTAGGACTATGAAATTGACCAAAGTGGGCTGTGAATTTGGTAGGGCCCTACTTATGGGAGAATATTGTGGAAGGAAAAAGGGGATAATTTATATGGAGGTGGCAGCTAGCCAGGGGAACCTCTGCAAGTGGGCAAAGGCTGGGACCTTGCTGCCTTAGAAGAGCTGTATGAGAGACGTAGGTTGGAACGGTTTTATGATCTGTGACCTTAGAATGTGCTTATGGATCAGAAGCCATGAAGACGTGCTTCGACTTCTTGTTGCTTTAAAGTCCTTTTTCTCTCATGTTGTGCTTTGTTCCTGCTGCTAAGATTAAACCACACACAGGCTAAACAACACTTCGGTTTAAGAAGGCTGTCTGGTCACTGTGTTCACCACTGGACACAGCTCCCGAAGGAAAGAACCGCAGGTCTGCCCGGTCAGACCTGCTGGGTAGGCATGGTTAATCCACAGAGTGCTGTAGTCCAGAGTCTGGTCTGAGGGTGGGGGAATCACAGGATTCCATCCCAGAAAAGGTAAGGGCACAAGGCCTAGTGTCCGAGGGGGTGAACTCTGACTTCTGTCTGAGGTGCAGTTGTGACACCCCCTCTTCTTGCGTCCAGGGTCCCTGTGTTTCCTGCTGAGTGCTCTGGGGATAACAGCGGGAGCGCATCGCATCTGGAGCCATCGGTCCTACAAAGCCAGTTTGCCCCTCAGGATCTTTCTGGCCATAGCCAACTCCATGGCTTTTCAGGTAGGAACCCCTTTTGCCTCTTCCCAGGTTCCTCAGTCTTGGAGGGAAGCAGCGAGACCCCAGCTGCAGCCACACATGCAACAGAGAAGCAGGGAAAAGTCACGTTCCCTTATTCTACCATGTCTCCTACAGAAACATTTCCCTCTGAGAGCTGCATCTCCTAAGCTGTGTTTGAGTCTACATCTTCCATCGGAGGGGGAGACTCGCTGCTGCTGGGATAGGGGAGGGTTATTGGGAGTGCACCCATGCAACTCTGCATACGGCCCCTGTGTATGCTGACTGCAGGAGGCACTGAGGATACTTTGCACCTCCCAGTGGTGGGCTGTAAAGGAGTCAGGGTACCCCAGTGGTTGGAACTGAGGCCTGGCATCCATATCCTTCTCTACCACTAACCTGTTGTGTGTCCTGCAGGTAAATCACTTCCTCTCACTGCAAGAAGGATGGTCTTGTGGTTAAGGCACTAGACAGGGATGCAGGAGACTTGGGTTCAATTTTTGTCTCTGCCACAGATTCCCCGTGTGACCTTGGCAAGTCTCTATGGGCCTCACTCTTCCCATCTGTAAAACAGGAATGATAACATTACTTGCCTGCCGCAGAGTGGTGGTCAGGAGAAATCCCCCATATTATTGAGATTAAGTTGGTACTCAGACTCTGCAGTGACAGGTGCAATAAGTGTGCCTGGATAATGCCTCTGTTTCCCGGCTACAGGATGGGATGAAATTAAACCAGCTTTTCAAAAGTGCATTGGGATCTCTGTATGAGAGAGGCAATGTACATGGGAACCGTTTTCACTAGTGGTGTTGGTCAAAACAAACATTTTGAATGAAATCATGAACATTTCACCATTTTGAAAGCTGGTTTAGAAATGGACCAATCTTTTGGCTTAAACATAATCTCCTGAGAGAGGTTTATAAATAAAGGGTTTTTTCTGTTTTTGAACATTCAAAACTGAAATTTTTCCATTTCGAAAGGAAAAAATGCTGTTTGATTTTAAAAAACAAATCCCACCCTGATGTTAAGCTGACCAATCGGAGTGATTTGCAGTGGTGGTATAGCTGTGTAGTCCCAGGATATTGGAGAGACAAGGTTGGTGAGGTAATATCTTTTACTGTACCAACTTCTGCTGGTGAGAGAGAGAGAAGCTTTTGAGCTACACAAAGCAGAAGGTCTGAAGAAGAGCTCTGGGTAGCGTGAAAGCTTGTCTCTTTCACCAGCAAAAGTTGGTCCAATAAAGATTGCGTATTGGATATTACTTCACCCACCTTGTCTCTCCAGTCTGTTAGCAGTGCAGCTGAGGAGGGGCAAACCAAATTCTGAAAACGATCAGTTTAAAAAAAAAAAATTTTCAATAAAGGTGGAAAGTTCTGAGGAAAATCAAAATGTTCTGGTGAAAAATGCCAAATACTGTTAAAACAAAACCAAATTTAAATTGAAAAATGTGGTCTAGCTCTAATCTTTGCTGACCCAGTGAGTCATCCAGTCATGGTCATTCCAGAATGACATCTACGAGTGGGCCCGAGATCACCGCGTCCACCACAAGTTCTCCGAGACCGACGCGGACCCTCATAACGCCACACGGGGCTTCTTCTTTTCCCACGTTGGCTGGCTGCTGGTGCGCAAACACCCCGACGTCATCGAGAAGGGCCGGAAGCTGGACCTGTCTGACCTGAAAGCCGACAAGGTGGTGATGTTCCAAAGGAGGTGAGCCGGGTGTGGCCAAGCTGGGGAAGAAAATAGTGTGATTGTGGCACAAGGTGAGGGGCAGGTGTTGTGACCAGTGTATCACTGGGGAACCAAAGGGGCTCTGAGGCATGGCGTCCGGATACAGGAATCTCTCGCAGGGGTAGTCAATAGGTGGCCAAATCCGGACTGCCAGACATGTTTGAATCCGCCTCAAAATCTTTTATTTACTTATCATTATTTTTGTATTTTCTCTGGAGTCTGGACCTTGACTAGACCTTGACCAAGACATTTGGACCTTGACAAAAAATAATTGACTACCCCTGCTCCAGAGCAAAACTAACCCTCTTGTGAGTCACCCTGGATCCTTTCTGCAGGTGACCAGCCCCAAATGAAGTCAATGGGATGGTTCAGGTGTGTTTGGAGCATTGGGGCCGTTGTTCCTCATGGATTTCTTCCCAGGTTCGCAAACAAGTTCCATCCAGCACAGCAGTGGGATATATTACGCATTTTCCTTTTTTTCTTCTACCTCTATGGGAGAGGAGGAATGAGGTCAGAAAAGGCAGGGCTGCTGCCTCGCTGGGAACATCGCTGGCACAGGGGGCCCAGTGCCAACCTCTTGTATAAAACGTGTCCCACTGCTGCGACCTTAGCAGGGGTAAAGAGGCTCTCTCTCTCTCACCCCCCCCCCCCATGTGCAATCTCTCACTTGCTGGGATTGGGTTTCCCTCCTTCTATCCCTTCCCGCGCACACACAGCCCGGTTCCCTGGGGCAGCCGAGCACCAGGCCTCCCCCAGTGTGAGTGACAGGTCCCCTGACGGAGAGAGGAGAGGAGTCTGCTGCGGCCCCCAGGGAGGGAGCCAAAGCTCCAGCTGCAGCAGCGTATGCCCTGAGAGCTGGAGGACCCTGGTTTAATCCCAGGTGCCTCCGCCAAGATGGCAGCTGTCGCGCTCCCCCAGTACAAATGTGACCTGGCAGCAATAATGATAAATGGAGCCCCAGGAAGCCTGGCAGCTCTGCTTCATGGCACCTGTACTCCATTTCCAGCTCATCTGCTGAGTCCTTCTTACCCCCTGCCAGCGGGTGTGTGGCTCTTACTGTGTGCCCAGCCGATCCCCTTTATTCTTCTGTGCCCACTTTGTCACTACCCTTGTTTTCCTTTTTCTCCAGGGGGAAAACCAGCAGAGGTGGGCTGGTTCTGCGCTATTTTCTTTGGATAGTTAAAACTAGCACCTCTCCCCCGCCCCGGAGACTCAGCCCTGGTAGATGACCTGAACTGCCCTCGTCCTTCAACTCCCCTCCATGGGATGCACCCGCCCACTAACACTCTCTCCCCATTAATCTCTTTTTTTCCTGGCAGGTTTTACAAGCTTTCTGTGGTGGTCATGTGCTTCCTGTTCCCCACCCTAGTGCCCTGGTGCTTCTGGGGGGAATCTCTTCGCAACAGCTTCTTCCTCCCCGCCATCCTGCGCTACGTGCTGGTGCTCAACGCCACCTGGCTCGTGAACAGCGCTGCACATATGTTTGGCAACCGGCCCTACGATCGAAACATCAATCCCCGGGAGAACCGCTTGGTAACGTTTGGAGCCTTAGGTACATTGGTGGCGCCTTTTAATTCCAAACCACTCCACAAACTGACTGTGAGTGAGACAGGCAGAGATCACTGCACCTGCCACTAAAACACAGCTGTGTCTGGGGAGGAACACAGCAGCTGTTCAGTAGTGCATAGCAACAGGGCACGAGAGTCTGGGAGAGAAGGGAAGAGGAATAACATCCATTTATAAAACTGGGATGGGAGAGATTTTAGGTACATAATATAAAATGGACCAGATCCTCAGCTGGTGTAAATCTGCATTGCTTTGAAGTCCATACAGCTATCCTGATTTACATCAGGATCTGACCCTATGAATTTAGGCAGGCCACTGGGGTTAACACCCCGATGTTTCTGCATTCGCATACGGGAAAACCAGAAGCATGTAGACTCCAGCTGGGTGATCTCACCCATGCACCTGCAGACCTGCACGTTTACTGGAGTGTCTCATGCTCTAGTCAATAGGTACGTAGGGCAGTGGGGTTATCTTCTCCAGTTTGTTGCATGTAGCACCTTCTTATCTCAGCAATGAGATTTATTTGCCCTTCCTGAAGCTCTCACTGCCTGTTTATGATGACAGTTGCCCCCCACTCTCTCTCTCCACCTCTGGGAAATGATGCTTCTGAAATAGCTGGACACGTGCAGCCAGAAGTGCCCAGGGGTTTCTGAGTGCTAGAGGCTTGAGACAGCCAAGTCCTGATTTTCAGAGGTACTGAGGATCTGGGAAAAATGAGCCCAGAATCACCATGAGCTTTGTACTGCTTTCCTGAGCCAGATTCTCAGCTCGTGTATTGTAGCTCTGTGGACTTTGGCAGCACTCCACTGATTTACCTGAACTGGGGATCTGGCCCCAGACTTTCACTAGCAAGACTCAGAGCTGCACAGTTCCCATCTCGATCTGAGCTTCTCAGACTCTGGGGATGGAAGATGGATGGACGGAGCCTCTGATAAGTGCCTGGACTCACTTTAGATTTTGCCAGGAGCTCAGCCAAAGCTAGACAGCTTCTTTCTGGGAGACTGAAGAGGAATCAGAACCCCGTACAAGCCTCACTAGGCTCTCTGAGGGGGCCCATTTTAAAGGCTTTAATAAAGGGAGGCCCAGGCACAAGCAGAAGTGCCGGAGATATCCTGAGTTTTCTCACCCAATTTGACCGCTTCATGAGGGTCAGGTAAACAGCCAACCGAGCTCTGGCCAGACCTGTGCTGAGATTAACCAGCCATCACTTGTTCTCCCCTCCAGCCTGCCGTGGCCTCCTCACATGCCCTGTACTAACCTTAGCGCCATCCTGGTCCTCCTCTGGTGTTGGACTCAGTGCAGAGGAGACGGGGCTGGTGGGCGATGTTACACATGGGCAAGTGGAGCAGAGGGAGTCCGAGCTGGTGTAACTTGTACACCAAATGTTGGAAGAGGGGAGAGCAGCAGGACAGCCAGCCACCAGGGGCTGCTCAGCCCCTACTCCCCCCTGCCTTTCTCTGCTCTCTCAGGGTGCTGGGTGCCTGGCTCCGAGCACTGTCCCTTTGTGACTGGCCATTTGTAGACGGGTCCCATTGACAGGGCTGGTATTTTCTGACATTCTCCCCGCCTTGGCCTCTCACCGGTGCATCGTCACCAGCCTGTCGATGAGGGAGTGCGCACGTGGCCAGAGCTTCCACCACTGCCTTGTTGCACCCTGCTCAGAGCAGGGTCGATGGCCCAGTGGTGGCAGGGCTCAGGCTCACCCCACGCTGGCACTTCCACTGGTGGAGCTGGGTCAGGGATAGACCAACGCTGGGAGACTTTCTAGAAACCTCCATGTAGACACGGCCTCGGCACGCAGAGCCTGAGCAGCTCCCAGCGAAGTCAATGGGCTGCAAGTGGAGGAGGACGGGGGCTGTCCCTGCCCCAAGGGGAGCACAGTCTGCGTTCGGCACAGGTGGCCCGTTCTGGGGACATGGTGCCCGAGCCTGGGCACGGGGGTTCTAGAGCGTGACCGTTTCAAACCCAGGCTCAGGTGTATTTACAGTGTCTTGTCCCTGCTCTTCCGTTCCAGGCGAAGGCTTCCACAACTACCACCACACCTTCCCCTACGATTACTCCACCAGCGAGTTCGGCTGGCACTACAACTTCACCACGGCCTTCATCGATCTCATGTGCCTCCTGGGGCTGGCCAGCGATCGCAAGAAGGTCTCCAAGGAGACCATCCTGGCTCGGAAAACTCGGACTGGCGATGGGAGCCACAATGGCTGAGGGCGCATTTTATTTCTCCCCCCCCCCCCCCCGAGTGAGCTGGTCACAGGGTTTTATGTTCTATTTACTAACCATTGAATAATGCTACCAGGTTGCTGCTGCTGCTGATTTTAACCTGTTCCTGCACAGTGTATTTTAAATGTATTTAAAACCTATAACTTGTCTTTCTAGTGCTCAGCAGCTCCCTCCCTCTCTTCTCTCTCTCCCTTCTTTTTGTTCTTCGTTTGTTTCTCTCTGGCAGGATCTCTCCCTTTCCCTCTAACTCTTCCATCCTGCATTCTCTCCTTGTCTCTGACTCTCTCCTTGGCAGGGAGCTGGTCGAAAGCCCGTCCGGGGCAGATTGTGCTGCTGGCTGGACCGAGGGAGTGGAGGGGGGTCTGTACCAGCTGGCTGAAGAGTTGAGCCAAAGTCAGGGACTCTTTCCCTTGAAATGCCCCTTTCTTGCCTCTGGTTCTCCTGCCCTCCCAGAGCTACTGATTCAGGGCAGATGAACAGACTGCTGATGTGGCCACATCTAAGCAAATTGATCCTGTGAGTGACCAGCTAGAAAGCGGGGATGATGCTATGTCAAAGACCCAGGGGAGCCTTGTTTCTGTCAGATGGGTTTCCTGCAGCCAATTAACAAATACCTGATAGAAACAGACACCAAAGCAGGGGACACTGAGAGGGTTAAAGCCTGAGAAAGTTGCAGGATCCCAGCCCAGTGTCTGTGAGACCCCTTCTCAGAAGAGCCCCCCTGCAGCCGGGGGTGGAGCCACATCTACTGGGCAGATCCAGGCTGGAGATGGGACTGAATTGCCCCACTGTGCTGGGGGCAGGAAAGCCTGTTAGGGGGCTCATGACCAGCTCCCCAGCCCCTCCCAAAGCAAATCAGAGTTGCCCTGGGGACAATGGCTGCCTGATGCACACACTGCCGTGGGAAGCGCTGATGCAGCCGCTGCTGCTGGCGGCCGTTCCCATAACTCCCCCAGACACACGGTGCTAGAGCAGGGTGCTGGCTGCTGGGCCGTACGTAATTCATCCCCTGCAGACAGGGCCTTCCCTCCGGCGAGGGGGGGGGGGTCCGCTGCACAGTGCCTGGGCACAGAAGGTGCCTGTTCACTCCTTGGCAGCAGAGGCTAATGGGGGGGAGGGTTAAAACCCTTCTGTTTTTCACCCCATAGCACTTGCAGATGCTGCAGACAGGCTTGGCAGGGCGAGGCCCCATTCCCATCAGCCACTCACCAGATAGTGCTGCGGTGCTGGGTGAAAGCTCATGAGGTGCCCAGGCTGGTGGATCCTGGGGCAGAGCTGGGAAAGACTGAGCCAGGGTGGAGGAATGATGCTGAGATGCTCCTTCCCCGGTCCCAGCTGTGCTGCATATCCTCAAGGGCAGGCTCCAGCCTTCCCACGCAGGCCAAGGTGAGCACAGCACTGCTGATGTCGCAAAACTCTTGCTGTCGGCCAAGAATCATAGAATATCAGGGTTGGCAGGGACCTCGGGAGGTCATCTAGGTCCAACCCCCTGCTCAAAGCAGGACCACTCCCCAACTAAAGAAGTCGTTCCTGGCCTTGTTCCTTTGCATTGCCGTGACCAGAACTGTCCAGCTTTGCAACCCAATGGAGCAGCCTGCCCTCTGACTGGGCTAGTGATCTGCGCGTTCCACCAGCAGATAAGCCCGTTGGGAAGCTTTTAATTCCTGGGCTCTAAACCCGGGAGGTGGATGGGTGGGTGGGGATTCCCCACGGCTGAGATTTATAACTGCCCAGGGGGTGGCTGTGGATAGTTTTATCCAACTGGATGCAAAGATACCTGCATATCATAATCCTGGGCCAGATCCATTCCTGGTCCAAACCCCACTGACTGGAGTCTACACCCTGGGTGAATTTGGCCTCCCCTAATAGTTCTTCCCTTACCTCATGATCTGGACGTGTTGTGTGATGCAACCTACCATTCAGATACATGACACAACATGGTATGGCATCCACCATCCTCTCGGGAGAAAATCAAGAGGTTGATTCGGGCATTGCCTCTAGATCCAAAGAGTACTGATCAGAGCCAAAAATCCTGACACCCTGGGGAAGTGGAGTGGAAGTAACCAAACAGCACTGGCGTTTGCCCAGTCACTTTGTCAGTAGATTGGCGTACGTCTCTGGGTGCCTTAAGTTTTTTTTTCTTTAATACGCATAAAAGTATTGACAGCTATTTGCAGGATGTTTTCCGTTCTATGATTTATAGAAATTTGATTTAATTATTTAATTGCCGTCATTAAATTGTGGGTACAGGTGATTTTGAATGTATTGAGTTAGAATTTGTTAGATTAAGGAACAGATGCATCATTTTAAAGGTAACCTTGTTTGCTTTGTATTTCTTTCTTTGGTGGCATGTTTGTATCCAAGTGTGTTCTCTGTGAGTTTAGTTAGTGAGTCAGAGTGAGAGGTGGATGTAGATAAAGCACCAGCATGTCTAGTGGCTAGAGCAGCAGGCCTCCTGAGCTCGATTCCCAGCTTTGCCACTGACTCACTGTGAGATCTAGGGTCAGTCAGTTAACTTCTCCATGCCTCAGTTTCCCTCTCTGTAAAATAGGGATAGCACCCTACTTCACAGGGGTGTTGAGGTGCAATTAATACTTCTAAAGCACTGAGAGATCAGGGTGTGGAAGGCCCAATATACCCACTAGTGGTGGCGGTGGTAGTAAATGACTGGATTGCAAACAGTGTTCCCAGCCCCTCTGGTATCCTGGAGACGGGACGTGCGAGTGTTGGATAAGTAGTGAAGGATTGGAAGGTTGAATCTGTGCATTGTCTAAGCTCTGTTGCTATTGAAATGTGAGAGAGAACTTTCTGGGTCAGTTTCTGCATTCTAAGATCTCCATGTTTTGTCTACTGAAAAACTTTTTGAAATTTCTACTAATTTGGAATCAGACTGCTGGTTGTACTGATCTGAACTGGTATTTATTCATAATAAAAGTTTACTTTAAAACTCGACTGCCTGACTACAAAGGGCTGGGCGGGCTGGAGCCTTCAGAGGCTGCTGTTCCTCCAGATATTTATTTCCTCCTATGCGGGGTACAGGGAAAGGGAACCTCTTTTTAAATGTGGTGATTTTGAGCTGGTTTTAGTGGTGCTCACTCTGGCTTTGCCAGAATTAAATTCCCTTCCTTTATCAGAGGCACACCCTTCCATTTTGAGAGACACTTTTCCAACCATTTCTGTATTAGTTCACTCTTTGCTTGCATGTTCTGTAATACTTGCAATCCTTTCTGGTTATTTTTATCAATTGTTTTTTTTCTAGTTTTACTTGTGCCGGGCTGGTTACTACCACAGGCATAAATTCCCATAATGTTCCAGTAAGTGCTGCTGCTTTGGCAAATTTGTCGGTCTGTTCATTTCCCCTTTGTAATGGGTCTTTTATTTTGACCATCCTGACCTTGCTAAATTCTACTACCAATTTTTCTATCTGCTGCCAAAGGATTCTGTGTTTAATTTCAAATCCATCAGATCCTTCTGATGCCCATGGATACTAAATCCTTAGTCTTTTTGGGGGCTCACTAACTTTTGCCAAGAATTTATGGTGGGATATGGAGAGAAGGCAGGTACCTCGTATGAGGTGCTTAAAAGACCACAATGAACCTGAACAGAAGAAGTAGCTACTACAGGGGTAGGCAACCTATGGCACGCCAGCTGATTTTCAGCGGCACTCACGCTGCCCAGGTCCTGGCTGCTGGCCTGGGGTACCGGCTGCCGGCCCCCTGCCAGCTAGGGTTCCATTCTCTGGCCCTGCTCAGCCCGCTGCCAGCCCTGGGTCCCGGCCACCAGACCAGGGGGCTCTGCTGCCGGCCTGGGGTCCTGGCCGTCGGCACGGGGCTCTGCAACCACCCCCCAGCTATGGCCCACTGGCCCCAGCCTGGGGTAGTGCAGGGTGCAGAGAGGGGCAAGAGGGGGCAGAGCTCAGCACCCCCACCTTAAAAATTGTTCCAGCGCCACTGTACTGGGATATTTAAGTCCGGATTTGCTGCTGACATCACTCACGCCACGTGGAACAGCGCACGGCGTCTGACGTTGAGATTAGAATATACATGCAAGAAGTGGAATCGGGATTTTCTGACAGAATTCCAGCAATTTGGGCCAATGCTTTCTTTTCTAACTAAACCTGAAAAGGTCAACGAAAGCGACTTGGATCGGTCTGTATTTCAGTGGGTGGGTGCTGAAGATTTCGAAATGCAGCTCATTCAGTTAAAAAGCTCAGAATTGTGGGCATCAAAGTTTGGAGATCTGCGGCGTGCACTTGAAGCTACCGAGAGAGATCATGGGCCCTCTATTCTGACCTGCTGGATGTCCCTGCCAGTGAAATTTAACTGTTTGAAGAAAATTGTATTTGCAATGCTTTCAGCATTTGGATCCACATACCTGTGTGAACCAGTATTTTCACACATGAAATCTGTCCTCTCTCCCTCTCAGAGCCAGTTAACAACTGATCGATCAGAAGCCTGTGTGCAGCTCAAAGTATCCAAATACATGCCAGACATTGGAAAACTCAGCAAGGAAAAGCAAGGGCAAGGATCACGCTAAACTGATAAGCTCCATTTAGAATTAAATTAAAATGCAGATCTTATTAAACATTTTAAAAACCTTTATTTACTTTACATACGACAATAGTTATATCATAGACTTACAGAAAGATCTTCTAAAAACTTTAAAATGTATTACTGGCATGCAAAACCTTAAATTAGAGTGAATAAATGAAGACTTGGCACACCACTTCTGAAAGGTTGCTGACCCCTCAGCTAGTACATGAAGAAAGGCCTTCTTTGACTGCCCCCAACAATGAGTTCCCCTTTATGTTGTATTCTAGTGTTAAATTTCTGTATTGTTAGTGTGATCACTCAAGATACTGATGCTGAGGAAAGACCTGTCACATACCTGTGTGTGTGTAATGCCCATACTAAGGCATAATATTTTCCCTCTTTTCACGATCACGATGGAGCCTTGGCCCTTTCAAGTTGTTTTCTAATTGTTGAGTTTTGTGGGAGGGTTTTAATAGTTCCAATCCACTTTTGAGTTATTTGTGGAGTGACATTCAGGGTGAATCGAGGAATTGGTGAGGTGCTATGCTCCATTTCCAATTCTGGGCTCCCCCTCTTTACTCAGTGTTCCTTTTTTAACAGGAATTGATTTAGGTTTTGGTGAAGGGTTTGTTGGTTTGGTTTTAAACCTGGTTCTTATTATAAGGTGCTGGTTGCAGAATAGTAGCCCCTGCCCATGAGCTATTGGATGGTGGCAAATATGGATCATTCCACATGGCCCCAGTGCAGCATCCATTCCAATTATTCCATGTGCCATCTTTTAATTGGGCTGGGTCCACCTGTTTCCATTTTTGTCCCCATCCTTCAGGCACTATAAAAGCATTTGAAGTCTGGTGGTAGGTAATGGGGGATGGCACCTCTTTCTTTTGCAGGTTTTCCACAGCTGATTCCAATTTTTTATTCTCCTGCTTTATCTGTTCGAGCATATCATGTATCTGGACTGCCTGCTGCCCTGCTCAAAGAGCTTGGGCTTTCTAGTTCTCGACAGCCTGGGATGCTTCTTCCAAAGCCTGGGTTACCACTTCTACTTCCCTGGGTTTTTTTATTTGCCTGGCCGGTATTGGGGCATGTTTAAGACATCTTACTGCTATGGCCATTAATTGCAAGATTCTACACTATTTACTTTTTGTTACTGTTTTTCAAAGTTTCAGTTTCTGCCATTGCTTTACATATTCCAGTCCATATTCCCACACTGGATTCAGTGCTGGCAATGGGTCTGGAGCTGGTTGTTCCGCCAGTTCCGGTTCTGGGACTGGATCCACTACTGCTGTTGCAAACATGGACCCAGACCCCAGGCCAATCACCTCTGACCGGGTCCTAGTAGAAGTTTCCGGAACAGAGCTAGGCATGACGGCTTGCTTAGTCTGGCTGCGGGTGACCATTCCCACTCTTGGCTAGCTTCACATGATTGGCCAAGTCTTCCCCCCAACAGCACTGGGATAGGATAATCATCATAATCATAGACTGAAAAAGTCCACATTCCTGACCAGCCCTTGTACGGAACAGGCAACTTGGCTCTAGGCAAATTGAAAGAGTTGGACTTGAAGGGTTGAATTGTCACTCGGAGCTCTGGGCCGATTAAATTGGGGTCCACTAAGAAAGCATGGAAAGCCAACACTTGTGCTCTGGTGTCCCTCCACGTGGTGACCATCTTCCCACCCACACTGTTTCCCTCTGCTCCGAGGGTATCTGGGAGGTATCTGGGCCTGAGGACCTCTGGTGTGATTTTGGTGCAATGAACTGTAATCTGTTGGAGTTCTTGGGGCAGTTGGCCTTCACATGCCCCGGCTCGTTTCATTTAAAACATCGTCCAGCTGATGGATCACTGAGGCGAGGTGGGTTGCTGGAGAACGGTGTGGCGGGACGATAAAGTGTCTGGACTATTCCTTGGTGTGTAGTTGGGGCCTTGGGCTGCCCCCATAGTAGAGTGTGGTCTGAGGGTGTCCCTTCTGGTATACACTCCAACTGCAACCAGGGTTGTTCCTCCCTCCACCCATTTTGTTCTGGCTTACCCCGCCTCTCTGGCAGTCTGGGACTGCTCATTTTGATCAGCATAAGAAGGAAGACTTTCTGCTGAGTCAATTTCCTTATCCCATAAACACTGTTTTATTTCCTTCTTGGACACATTCAGGAATTGCTCCTGAGCTATCAAATCACACATTCCGTTAAAGCTAGTGACACCCCTTCCTTGGACCCATTTATCTAACAGATCCTTCATCTGGTTTAGATAAGCCACATTACTTAGTCCAGGCCCTCTCTTAAGGGTTGAGACTTTACTCTGTATGTTTCAGATGTAATTTGAAATTGCTTTAAAACCAAATCCTTGAAATTATCATAGTCAGAAGCCTCATCAATAGGCATCTTATTGACTATGTCCAGAGCTCTTCCAGTCAATTTTGCGACCAATGTGGTCATCTTGTGAGCTTCAGGAATTTTATGGAGAGTGCACAGTCTCTCAAAGGTGAGAAAATATTCAGCAATATCACTGGATTCATCATACTATGGACATAGTTGCTTCCATTTGTGGATTGTTGGGGAAGGATTGTTAGGATTAGCCAGTAGATTCCGCTCAGCCCTTACCTTCATCTCCAGTTCATGCTTCCTCTCTTTTTCCTTTTCCTCCATTTCTTTTTCCTTTGCCTTCATAGCTCTCCTGTGAGCAGCCTCTAGGGCTTTTTCTGCCTCTTTCATTGCCTCCAGTCTGGTTAACTCCAATTTGTGTTGTGCCTTGGTTTCTATCATGTTTGCCTCTCTGTTTTTAACTAACTTTACACCAAAGAGTTAGAAATAAAATAAACAAAAAACTTGGCTTGTCAAACAAAATAGATTGTGCTGTAACCGGATACCTATGTTCTCTGATAGTGGTTGTCAGCCTACAGAAAAATCCTTAAACAAAAAAAAATAAAAACCTAACGCCTTTGTCTCCAGGCAAATAGAAAACCCCTCTAGTTGCTCTTAAGTAAAAAAAAAAAAAAAAAAAGTAGTAGTCTTCAGGTCTGTGAAGACTTGAGAATTTCCCTGCAGGAGGTTAACTACCGTGCCTTTAGGTAGAGAAAACTCCAGCTCACAAAAGACAATTCCCTTTTGTCTCTGCTCTGGCCCTCAAGCCGAGACAAAAAAAACAACTAACTGCTTTCAGCTGAAAACCTGCTTTCCAGCAGCCCAAACTGGGGGGGGGGAAGGAATTCCTTTTTAAAATCTGTGCTTCTTGTTCAAAAATCTCAAAATGATTTCAAGTTAATCCCACCACTCTGCCACCATGTCAAGGTTCCTTCCCCACTCTGAACTCTAGGATACAGATGTGGGGACCTGCATGAAAACCCCCTAAGCTTATTTTTACCAGCTTAGGTTAAAACTTCCCCAAGGCACAAACTATTTTACCTTTTGCTCTTGGACTTTATT